AGGAAATTTTTGGCTTCGGGGTTGGTGAAGCAGTTGCCTGGCTCCTTCCGTGGCTTCAATTCTGGTTCTAGAGGACCCCATTTGCAGCCATGGCGGGCCCTAAGAATTGCTATCGCTTCCCAGTGAGTTCTTTCCACGAACCTCATCTATTGACTTTGCCCATGTTTCTCAACTCCTCGCCTTCAACTTTCCCTGCCATTCTTCATTTCTTAAATTAAGATTGTCGTTTTCATCTGTTAATTCTAGTTCTCGAACCAATCACTTGCTATTGAAACGATATTATGCACCGTAGAATCAGATTGCCCGTTCGTTAATCTCGGTTCGTTAGCTGACCTGACCAATTGACTTGTAGCTGCCGTGTGAAGACTCTCAAAACATTGCCGAGTCCGTCTTCTATCGTTCCACAGTTTTCTACGTTATTTGGGCATTTTTCCCCCTGGGGTTTCTTCCAGAATTGCTAATTAGCTTGAATTCATGGTTCTTGCAATCCTATGAAAAGCGTAAAAGGTTCCATTCTCAGATTCTGATCTTTTTTCTTTTTGTTATTAATCTGTGGTGCTGTTCTCTTTTTTAATATCTTCACATGTTCTGTTTAGACGCGTATTTCTTTTTGTTATAACAGATGGACCGATTTGAATAGAAGTGTTGTTTTCTTAATTGATTATTTTCTTGGGCGTTGAACTGGTTTGTCATTTGGATTATCATGGACAGTAGAAACTTGAAGCAGGTGCAGGAACTGGAATTCGGTGGACTCTGTTTTCTTTATTACTGGGAGAATTGTAGACAATTCTTCCAATTAGATGGTGATTTAGTTTGTGGGTATTTTAGTGCTTGAAGCATTGTTGAAATTGGAAATCAAGGCTTGGCTTGGATTGTTGAACATTTTGTTATGTTCTCTTAATCCTTTCCTTTGACTTGTAGTTGATTTTTCCTGTTTGATATCCAGATTGATTCTGAGCTACTTTTAGATCAGTACCTGAAGAGTCATTGTTTTGATTTCAGGAGGCATGCGTTGGTTTTTCTCACTTTGTATTTGTGACAAGAGGGATAAACCAATGAACTCGAATACGACACCGGTTATGTCCACTAATTCCACGAACACTGAGGCTGAAGCTGGTAGATCTGGTTCTGAACTTAATTCACAAAATGTTTCTAACAGTAGCTCAGAATCCTCAAGGAGAAATTATATACAAAGCATGTCTGAAAGAGCTAGCAACCTCCGAGTCTTTACTGTGTCCGATCTCAAATCAGCTACTAAAAATTTCAGTCGAACTTTTATGGTCGGAGAAGGTGGTTTTGGATGCGTTTATAGAGGGTTAATCAAGAGTGCAGACGATCCATCTCAAAAAATAAAAGTTGCTGTCAAACAGCTTGGTAAAAGAGGATTGCAGGCAAGCTTTCTGTCTTGTGAAATTAAGTAGCAAGCTTTAGTCTTGATCAAAGGTTAAGGCTAACTTAACTTTCTTTTTCATTTGAAAATATCTTATTGAGCAAAGTGCATTAGCAATTCCAGGGAAGATAAAGAATATTGGTGGGTTTTATAGAGTTTTTTTGCATACTTTCATGGAAGATATAGTGTATTCTTGTATTCATGTGTAAGTCGTAATGAGTATAACTTACATGAAACAATCGTCATTACTGAATGCATCATATATGGCTTTCATACACTACCTTGGCAAATGTATGTTCTAAACCAAACTGTTGTATGGCGAACAGCTACATGCTACTTTTGAATTGATTATAGAAAATACACTAATGACATATTATAATCTTCTTGTGAGGTCGGATATGGAAACATTTCCCTAGTAGACACATTTTAAAATTGTGAGGTTGACACGATACGTAATGGGCCAAAGTAGACAATATCTACTAGCGGTGGCTTGGGCTATTACAAATGGTATCAGAGCTAGGCTCCAAGCGGTGTGCCAACAAGGACAATGGGCCTCAAAAGAGGTGGATTGTGAGGTCCCATATTGATTTGAGAGGGGAACGAAACATTCTTTATAAGGGTGGGGAAGCCTCTCCCTAGTAGACGCATTTTAAAACCGTGAAGTTGACCGCGATACGTAATGGGACAAAACAGATAATATCTACTAGTAGTGGGCTTGGGCCGTTAAACTTCTTCATTGTGATTGTGATTTTCATTTTGCATGATCACAAGAAATCATCCAAGGATTAGTTGTTTGCATATTGAATGTCTGCCCTCTTGTTTGCAGGGTCACAAGGAGTGGGTGACAGAAGTGAATTTTCTTGGATTTGCTGAACATCCAAACCTTGTTAAATTGGTTGGCTACTGTGCTGACGACGACGAAAGAGGAATACAGCGTCTACTGGTTTATGAGTTTTTGGCTAATGGAAGCGTGTTGGACCATTTATCGAGTCGAGAGACAACTCTTTCCTGGGCCATGAGATTAAGAATTGCCCGGGATACTGCTCGCGGACTAACATATCTTCATGAAGAATTAGATGTTCAGGTACTTTTCTTCCTTTGTGTAAGCAACTTTTCCTGGGCTTTTGGGTCATGTATCTTTATTCCCTGAAAAATTTTACAGATAATCTTCCGGGATTTCAAATCTTCGAACATTCTTCTGGATGAACAATGGAATGCGAAGCTATCGGACTTCGGACTCGCCAGGCTAGGACCTCCAGAAGGGTTTACTCATGTCTCCACAGCGGTATGCTCAAATAGTACCACCCCCTTTACTTAATATAAATCAAATACTGCTCATTCCGACCACAAAAACCAAACACGCTCATGAGCGCACACACAGATAAAAATCTGACACGCTCGTGAGCTATTTTTTATGCTGCACTGTCTTGAACTCGTACCTCGGTGCTTAATAGGATTGTCATTGTAGAGGTCAGCTTTGGCTTTTGACAAGAATCATAATGCTGTAGTTTTGTTTAGAACTTTTTGTGTTTTCTTAGCACTCAATAAATATGACCACAATGCACACCAGATTGTAGGAACAATGGGATATGCAGCTCCTGAGTATGTTCAGACTGGACGTCTCACATCCAAGACTGACGTATGGAGCTATGGGGTCTTCCTATATGAACTCATAACTGGTAGGGTCCCCATAGACCGAAACCGTCCAAAGAGCGAGCAGAAGCTTTTAGAATGGGTAAGGCCATATCTGTCAGACACAAAGAAGTTCCAGCTAATACTGGATCCGAAGCTGAAGGGGAAATCACACATCAAATCTGCATATAAGCTGTCGAATGTAGCGAACCGTTGCCTTGTTCGAAATCCGAAGAATCGTCCAAAGATGAGCAATATTTTGGAAATGGTTAGCCAGATTGCAGAAGCATGGACAGAAACGGGAAACTCTCAAGCTCCCTTGGAAACTCTTACATCATCAAAAACTCCCAAGCCTGCCGAACCATGGAATGATAGAAAAACCATAGATTCTCGACGTAGAGACTATGGCTGGTTTTCGTGTTTATCGGCACCGAAGCTTTTGAGAACGTGCTGATTGAAGTAAAAGTTAACGAGTTTGGCCGATCGATTTCAAGTGCCAGGTAGATGATAATCCTGTAACATATGCTTCTGTTTTTGTGCAGATAAAAGTGGCTAGAACAGCTGCATTTCCATGCACTAAATCCATTTTTTCCCCTTCTGTTCTTCTTTTTCTTGTTTGAACAAGTTGATAAGCTTATCATAGTTGTTAGCAGTGAAGGCGTTTTATTGTTTAGACAGTCCGCTTGCTTTCTCTTGGCTTTTGAAGAACATCATGTAAGCATCTGTGACTCAGAGGCTGACTAATTGTAAAGTCATATTTAACATCACAATATACATAATAATACTTTTGTTTTTGTTCGTTTTTCAAATGAATGTTATTCAATTTCGATATCTTATATTATTGATATACTCAAAATAATAATAAAATAATACACTTATATTCATTATACTACTGATATACTCAAAATATAGACGAGACTAATTTACTAAATTGACCTGGAGTGACCATTTCAATTTTACTTTTTTGAATATTTTATTTTAATCAAAATTAGTTTAATTTCTGTAATAGAATATTAAAATCGAAATTATATTTTTTGAAAAATAGCGATGGCTAGCGTACAAGATGACATTAAAATATTATTCACATGAATTACAATAAATGATAAAATAATAAATAATCATTTTTAAAATAATTTTTAACCATGGCAAAACTTCCAAGAATCAATTTCTTTGTCATTGCCACGTCATAGTATGAAAATAATGTATTGGGAACCAATAAATGCTTCAAATTGCATTTTATTTTGTTTTTTTTTTTTCTTTACTTGAGTGGCAACACCTATAATCAAGAATTTATATAAATGGAAGATAATTTTTAAATATACCCATTTTATCCTTTTCAGGTTGGGATGCAATTAATCTGAGTCGTATTCGTTGATAAAGAGAATGTGTAACGTTTAGGGTGTACAAAACCTAAACCCTATCCGATAACACGACAACCTAAACCAAGCATGAACTTTCGAGTAGGGTTGGGTTCATTTTTCTGAACTCGAACTGAATCGATTCGGTTCGTGGGACAAGGACTTCGAGTTGACCCAAGCCAAATAAAAATATATAGAACATATCAAGAATACTCCCGTATTAATGGGTTTGCAAGAGTGGTACTAGTCTAATGAGATTCACGTTCAAGTTCATGCCAATCCAACCAACCCGAACTTTTGGTTGAGTAAAAAAAAAATCCTTCAACCCAAACCATGGACATCCTGCTTGTGGGTGTAATCGATTTTATAAATGTGAGACATCATCCAACTCATTTACATTATTTAGTTGAATTGTTTAATATTTTAATTATTTTTCTTAATTTCTTCTGAAATTTTTAATTATTCTTAGATAACATATGGTAACTAAAATTACGATCTAACCGTTGAAATGTTTGTACCGACACATGGTAATTAAAAAGATTTAGTGCGCATAGTTTATACTAATTTTTGTGCTAAAAAATAAAAAATAAATAACATAATAAAATATAGAATTTATAGACATGTGGCTGAACGTTGGTAATTTCACAACGCATTAACCGCACAGTAACTGTAAAATTTTGTCGTCGTCATCTATTGCATCCGTACGCTTCTTTAAATGTGCAGTTCTCCGCAACTTTTCTGCTTTCTCAACATTTCTTCGATAAGAAACTTCATTCTTAAACCTCGTTGATCGCTCTCACCTTTGATTGAACTGGAGGTCAGTGCTTGTTTTTATGCTTAATGTCATATTTTCACTTTCTGATATGCAACTGATTCGTTGATCCAATCCGCCGTTGTCTTAAGGTTCCTATTTTCTTTGACCAAGTGCTTTGGTTCTTTAATCGTTCTTCTGTTCGTTTTTCAGTTGCCGTTATATCCTTGTTGTTGTTTATACGAGTTCTGTTGTTTGTTTGATTTTGATTTATCCACTCTTGAAAGCTTTGGATTGGTTTGTATGGTTTTTTTTATCCGCATTCGAAGTTATAAATGTATAGAGGCGTTTCTCGTTTAGATCAAAATCAAAATATGTTTCGTATTTGATTTTTGTTTATAAGACTTGGATGTTAGAAGGTACAGTTTGAAGGAAGTTTCGAAATATCCACGAGAACTTGATGTTCTATTGATTATTGATTATTGATTATTGATCTCGTTTCGTGCTTGTAATCTAGTAGTTCATCATTTTCCTCGTAGGTAGGAGTTGTTGGGTTAGGCATTTTGCAAACTTGTCAAACAGCTACTTCTCTGGAGGAGAAACTACCATTACTTGAGTAGTTGTGACGAGAAGATAGTTATGAACGATTATAATTCCGATGCCAGTAGGTGGGGTCTTCGTTTTTTCAATGGGGACTCATCCTATAGTACCGAGTACTTTCATGACATGGCACAACATGATGTTAATTTCTATGACTATTATCATGGAAATCGTTGCAATAATGAAGTTAACCACGTGGAGAACGATGAGATTATTGCACACACTCTTCAGGAGGAGTTTACCCAATTAGAAATCGCAGAGGCCTCGGGCTGTTCAAATGCAGAAGAGCCCTGCCAAACATCTAATTTTGCGCTGGGTTGGAACAATCTGTCCTCAAGAAACTACAGTTCAGGTTGTTACAATACTAACCATCTTATTCTTCTTTCCCTATACATGTGTGATAATGATCCTTACAAGTGCGCACAATTTTTTTTTTACAATCTGCAGAAAATGATTCGGTTGAAGATGAAGTTGAAACTATGGAGCCTTCTAGTTCATGTTCTAGTCCAGGTCATGAAGATAATTACTGTCCTTACGGGCATGAGAATCAAGTAGATTGGAAAATGGATCAAATGATTCCAGCGCCTGTGAGATTTTCTATAATTACATTTTTTTTATTTTGGTGTAGTAGTTGAAATAAATTATAGATTCATTATAATGAAAATATTCCCTCTTCGACCGATCATTGTATGTCAGACTTTGTATGGAGCATGCTTCTTTGCAGGGACTTGTGACTGCTGACATCTAGGAATATTTTATATCTAGTTAGAATTTGGAATTGTTCTCCTCTTGATTGGGAAATATTTTGATATGATTTCCGTAGGTGCTTTTCTTTTTTCCTTTTCGGAATTAATTTGGGATATTTTGAACTATTCTTACATCATTCGTGCATGTGTCAGTCTGAAATGGGCACTGGAATAAACATTTGGTAGACGTTTTCTCTGTGAACCATCGACATGATCATTCCCGCTATTACTGATTCTTGATTCCCAGCATGCTCTCTATTCATTTAATTGTTTGGACGAGAACCAAGGAATCTTGTCAAACAATATGCTTTCAAAGGCTGATCTCTAGTTCTTTTCTAATCTGTGCTAACATATGTATGTGGCATGGTATTATCCATAGGTTTGTCTGTCTACTACAAAGTTGACTTAAAACTTCTCATGTGATTGTGCAGCATGTCCCAAGAACTAATGGTGAGATTCCTCCAATTGATGAAGTAACTTCAGATCATCAAAGGTTGCTGGATAGGTAATATCTCAAAAACTCTCTTTTGTTCAACATTGAATTTTGGGTATTAACTGTTATGTCTGTCCACTGCCTTTCCAATCCTAGGTTGAAGGTATTTGATTTTGTTGAACGCAAGGTTAAAGGGGATGGTAAACCGTCAGGTCAGTTGTTTCTCAGGCATGTGGTTCTGGTCACAATTGAACAGTTTGGATTACCTGACATACTCATATCATTTTCGATTCTCAGTTCCGTGCCTTATCAGATCAACTATTTGGAACATCTGAACGCCACAAGTTGGTGAGAGAAAATGTTGTGAATCAGGTTTTTGTCATTGTTGCTCATAGCTTTAGTACCTTGTATCTTTCACATATAATTGACTACTTAACATGGTTTTCTATGTGTCTTTTTTTTTTCCATACCAGCTCAAGTCACACCGGGAGATTTATGAGGGATATGTTCCCATGGGATACGATGATTATTTGGAAAAGATGTCCGTGTATTTTGAACTTCTATTTATTTCACCATTTTTCATCCTCCTTTTCTAATCTTATTTGGATAATTCTTATTTTGAAATGTTTACAGGAGTGGTGAATGGGGTGATCATGTAACACTACAGGAAGCTGCAGATTGGGTACGGTCACCGCATCACCTTGTCTCCGGCTTTGAAGTGTTTTCTATAGATGGTGTTGGAAGTTTAAAATAAATTTGTTGTTCGTTCATGCAGTGATCCCTAATCATGTCAATTACTTGAATACAGTAGCTAGCTTGATATGAAAATGAAAAAAATCATGTCCTCCATATGTCGTATAAGAACTCTGTCCATTCCTTCCCCAACCCCCCAAAACGAGAATATGTTTCCTCCCTCCATTCCTCCTTCCCCCTTTCTACTTTATTGTTTTGAGAAATTTGTCATTTATGAGTAAAGCAAAATGTCCCCTGATGACCGTTTTATGTTGCAGTATGGCGTTAAGATATTCGTTATGGCTTCTTTCAAGGAAACTTGTATAGAGATCATCCCTAATTTCCAGAAGAAAAAACAAGGTCTGAACTCAACTCTCTCGTTTTTCTTTGCAATTCCGTAAATTTGACTGAAGAAAAATGGTCTGTGAATACTCATTCATGCTCTGTTTTCCAGTGTTATTATATTCTGTGTACTGGAGAAACAGTATCTCTTTCTAATAAACAAAAAACCCTTCTTTCGGATCAAAAAGGGGGGATTTCCAACATTTACTTTTTTTCGACTTCCCTCCTTTTGTAATCCACCTTTCTTTAGGAACGTGAATCAATGTTACATGTATGTAATTTTGTTTGTAAAGAGCTTCACTTACTATTCCTGTGTGCAATATGCAGTCATTTTCCTGAGCTTTTGGGCAGAGGTGCATTACAATTCAATCTATCCTCAACGGGGTAACTATTTTTAGTCTTCTATTCATAGTGAACTTAGCTGCCTGATACTTATCACTCATATGTTATATGTAAGGTTCATTTCTTCAATTTCCTCAATTCCATAACTCACAGCTCTATATTCACTCGGATGTTTCCTCAGATGCAGCTGTGCAATCAAATGACTATAGAAAGAGGAGAAGATGGTGGATTTTTGGATCCAAGCATTGAAACTCTAAGCAAAAGGTGCATTACGTCTTCTCTCCTGCTTTTCCCCTTACTGGTGGTCGTGGTCTTCTTTAAATTTTGAGAAGACCTGCGACCCCATTTTTTTTTTACTATTTTGAGAAACTCGGTCTGACTTTCTCTGGATCATATTCACAATTTTACATTACATAGATTAATAAAATTTGCTGGCTTCTTGCACTTTGTTAACCCTTGAATTACAAGCTCAACAGATGTAATATTATTGCTCTTGATCACATGCATTTCTATGAAAAATTATATGAATTCCCTTAAGACTGGGTTATTTCACAGGGATGGATGATATATTTTGATGAAGAGTGTTTGAGGTTTCAAAACTCATCCCAACCTGAACTGAAAGTTCATTTTTTACAAAATTTTAATAATTATTTTAGTTGACAAAAAAAAGTTCAAATAATTAATTTCCATTGCCAGGAATGTTCCTGAACTGTCCCCATTTCATGCCCCACTGAGAATATGATGTAAGACCAGGTGGACAATGGTGGGTCCATTCAATCAGTTTAGCCAGAGAAGATATTTAAATTTAAATAAAAAGAAAAAAAAAAGACGAATTTCCATTGCAGTAGAAGATTATACAGTTTCTTCATGCCTCTACAAATTCCAGCCATAACCAGAATGAGAGGAAGGTGAACGAAGAAGGGCTGGAAAAAGGGTAAGATTTCCATACTGCAATTTCAAACTGCTGTCTGTGTTCTGTTTGATCATTTCAATTTTCTATTGTTCTCTGAAGATTTCCTCCGCCTCATGTCTCTCCTCCGCCTCGTCCGCCGTTGCCGGCTGCAACAGAAGCGCAGTGAACGGCATGTACCGGTAATCATCCCCGCCAGCAGAGTAATCCATCCCGACCGGCTGGCATAAATTCAAACGGCAGCTCGGCGGTGGCATCCCGAACATTCCCTGCCCACTAGCAGCAGCCACTGCCACCGGCTGAACCCTACAAGCAACCGACGGAGCAGACGAGGCCATAACCGGAGAAACGGTGGAGATCGGAGCAGCCGGAACAGTCCCAGTACCAGTGGCTGCGATGATAGAGGGCTCAGCCTGACGGAGAAGCCACTCGATGGTCTCGCCATCAGAACGATGGCCAAGCTCGCACGTCAACTGAAAGATGCGAGCGGCACAGAGAGCCGGCATGCGGACGCGGCGCCCTCGGCCGTTGACCTTGGTGTGGCGGTCCCTCGAAGAGGACGAGGACAAAGCGGTGGAGGATTTGCGATGGACGACGGGTTGCGTGGTGTTGGGCAGAGATGAATCAGTGTCGACTGCGAGTGAGTGAGAAGCGGTGGGCTGAGAATGGGGATCGGAGGAAGAGGGAAATTTGTGGGGAAGGATTTCGGATACCATAGTTGAAATAGTATGATGATTTGATTTCAGAAGAGGAAGAAATGAAAAGGGGATTTTGTGCTTGTTGATGTTAGAAGGGTGTTAGGGTTCCGATCAGAATGGCAGAGACTAAGGCGAAGGGGGGATATTAGGGTTCTGAGGTAATAATATAAATACTGGCTCCCCATGTCGTGGAGTCGGATAATCAGAGTGGGATGCATGGTGACTTGGACAAGCATCACTGTGACACATGGCTTCTCGTTTCTCGCTTCAGCCTGTGTGATGTGGGGTTCACTTATTATGTTCTATTCCCTATTAGTTAAATGATTCTTTTAGTAACTAATGGCTTAAGTCCAATCTCCTACAAAATCCAATTTCATTACCAACCATTACTAACCACCTTAGAATTTGTTGGTAAGCTATTGACGTTTTATCTGCATCTTCTTGACTAAGATCCAGAAAGAAGAGGTTCGCTTTGTATGGGATGAACTCGCAAAGACTCGAAGTTACACCAAGAGAAATTTGTATAAGAAAGGAGATGAGATTGAAGAGAGAGAGAGAGAGTCGTGGGGGTGGGGACAGATTAAAAACCAAGAGGGAAACACAATTTAAGCTTACCAAGGATGAGGTACAAGAGAGAGTGATATGAACAAAAAAAAAAAAAACATCAATCATATAATATATTTCAATGACGATGTGAAGAAAAAATTGTCAAAATTATCAAAAGATGTTTCAATGCATGCCACATTGAAGAAGAGTGAAGTTTGATTGTTATAAATTTTGGGTGGATTACAATTTAGAGTTTTTAGAACTTTTTCTTCACATCGTGATTGAAGTATATTGTATGATTGATGTTTTTTTTTTTTTTATTCATATCAGAGAGCTAAGCATCGACGAGCAACCAAATGAGAAGAGGACAAACGATTAGGTGAGATGAGGAGACGAAATGATTGATGTTGTGGAAGTCTGAAGCACCAAGATCAAGACAAGTTGTTTGGGAGTATGTAAATGGTTGGTAGTGTGAGCAAGATATGATGCCAAAAAGAAATTGGCTTTTCTCAGACTACATGCAGCCTAAATAGATCAAATTAGTTATTTTTTCGAACTTTTATTGGTTTGATAAGTTCTACACAAACTGCAATATGTTAGTCATAAAAATAATAAGTACTACAAATTTAAGGAAGAATAAGAACTCAATTAAACATATCTTAGTTGAAGTTATATGAGTTGAAGTATATACATCATTATGTGCATCCCAAGCATAAATCATCACTATATTAGGATTATTGTAGCTCGTTCTTTGATTATCTAAATGAAAAAAAAAGAACATTCTTCCCTCCGCCGGATTTGACCTACTTTAACCCGCATGTAAATTTCAGAAGGATATGAATATTTATTGGGCCTGGACGTGAAAACTGTTGGGCGTTGGATTCTTAGTTGAAAGGGCCTAATCTGTTACATTCAGTCATTTCAATCAACTAACCCAGCGAGTCAAGAACTCCCCCAATCTTTGAATCAAAAAGAGTGCAGAAGAAAGAAAAAGAAAAGAATCTTGTCCCGGTTTCGGGGTGTGAATTGCTCTGCGAAGCCACTGATAAGTCTCTGAACGAACCCATTGCTTACCAAGTTTCTCAGAAGGAATCCACCGAAAATAAGGACCCAGATCATTCACAGAGACTGAACGGCGAGAAAATTACCAGTGAACAGTTCTAAGAGACTTTCAAAAGGAACCGAGAAGCGTCCTTCATCCTTCTTCTGTTCTTCTTCCTCCTCCTCCTCCTGTTCTTCAGGTAGTATTTGCAGTTTGATATTATGCTCATTTCTTTGCTTTGTGTGATTTTCCTGTTTGGTTTGGCACAAATGTGATGCTTAGAGAGTTTTGTTCAGAATATTTAGAGTTGGGTTTTTCCTTATTTGGATTTTATAGTGCCTCAAATGACTATGAATGTTGTTTGTGAATCGAATGTGCCCATTAGCTATGCAATGCGGAGTATGCAGAAAGCGCCTATGTAGGACTTTGAGAAGAGTTTAAACACCATGAAAATTTTGAAAATAGTTTTCTAATTGGCTTAAAGCTTACAAAAGTTGTATCATATTCATCATTAATCGATATTGATGTCTTTTATCATTTAGTTTTCCCAAATTAGCTTTCTCCATACATCAAATGCTTGTAAAAATGCCGCATCTACTCAGGTTCATGTTTGTTATGAAATCCTGCAGTTTCTATGTTACGTGAGCAAGCGACTCCAGCTCGATACTTTCCAACCCCATTTCTTTCACAAGAACAGCAGTGTGAATGTAGACCTCAATTACAAATACTTCGTGATAAAACATCCCAGGTTAGAGTTCTCTGCATATTTATGTTTGTGAGATCCCACGTCACTTGGAGAGGAGAACCAAACATTCTTTATAAGGGTGTGAAAACCTCTCACTAGTAGACACATTTTAAAACTATGAGGCTGACGGCGATACGTAATGGGTCAAAGCGGACAATATATGCTAGCGGTAGGCTTGGGATATTATAAATGGTATCAAAGCCAGACACCGAGCGGTGTGCCATCTAGGACGCTGGCCCCAAAGAGGGTGGATTGTGAGATCTCACATCGGTTGGAGAGGGGAACAAAGCATTCTTTATAAGGATGTGAAAACCTCTCCCTAGTAGACGTATTTTGAAACCGTGAGGCTGACGGCGATACGTAATGGGCCAAAGTGGACAATATTTGCTAGCGGTAGGCTTGGGCTGTTACCATATTGGATTATAGGGGTACTTTGTGGTTTTCTTAAAAACCCAGTCAATTGACGCTTGTTTCGTGAATGGCGTTATGTTTATTTGGATGTACACTCATTTATTGTTCTAACAATGTAGTTGTGAATTGTAATCTTTCCATGAGAGTATGCTCAATGAAAGTAAGACATTACACTTTTTATCAGCAATGAAGGAGCGTACATCCTAGAAAAACATACAGCCATTCGCGACAGAACGAGAGTTTTATATCTTTAAGAAAACCATAATGTCTGTGCTGGTGTCTGTATTCATGTTTTTTTCCAACACGATTATGCATATGCAAGTATTTATATGTACCTGCGTCTCCACTGCATTTGGGAATTCTAATTAATGGCTCATTTGATGCCCATTATGAAGAAGACACTAAATAGGAGGTTGATTGAGGAGTGTTTGAATTGACGAAGGTAGCCAAAGCAACCGTGAGCATCTTGTCTGGAAACTTGCATCAATCGGTTGAGTGGCTTGGTTTATTATCATCGTAAGATGAACTAAACTTCCTTTTCCTCACCATTCTTATCAATCAATATAAAGATGAAAATCCGTATCAATTATATAATTTCTGTCATATTGAGTAAATACAATCATTTTGCAGATCGTTAGTGGGTGAGTCCAAATAGGGCAGGGTGGGGCTGAGATGGGGATGGGGAATTTAAGCCCCATCCTCGGACATGTTCAGCTAACAGGGAGGAATATCTCCTTGCTCATGCTTCCTCCCTTGTTGCCCGCCCCATTTAAGATTGGGTTCCTACGACCCTCCTTCCTGTAGGTTAAATGAATGTGAGATCCCACATCGGTTGGAGAGGAGAATGAAGCCATTCGAGATGGGTTCCTTACAACCCTCTTTCCTGTAGGTTAAATGAATGTGAGATCTCATATCAGTTGGGAAGGAGAACGAAACATTCTTTATAAGGGTGTGGAAACCTCTCCCTAGCATATGCGTTTTAAAAATCTTGAGGGGAAGTCCGAAAGGGAAAGCCGAAAGAGGACAATATCCACTAACGGTGGGCTTGGGCTATTACAATGAGCATTTCTAATTTTTCTAATATTACGTGTACAATTTAGGATAGCCACATTTGGTACGATATTTCATTGCAACCATAACCTTGCTCATTTTGGGATATATTCATTGATTAGTTCTCTAAGCGAGGAGAGAACTGTAAAGTCAACCAGGCTGCAATATAGACGGTCTAAGAAGATAAGGGTGCCAAAACACGTAACAATGATTCATGAGACTTATAATTCTTTGGGGAAGATGCACGGAGAAAAACAAGTAAAAATTTTGATCCTAAGAATCTTCTACGACTGTTCTTGTGGGCTCCTGAAACAAAGAAGCTTTTAACAGTTCAAGAAGAGTCTGAGTTGATTGTCCAAATCCAGGTATGCATGTGAAGGCTATATTGTTTGTGTGTTTTCAGTTTTCATGTCTTCAATTCATTAGGCTTGTTATACGTGCTTGATAAAGTAACTTTTAACAGGATTTAATAATGTTGGAATTACAGTTGAGAGATTGGATAAGTTACTTTTTATGTCCTGAATTTCGTGTTCATTGCAGCAACCTGCATGGGCTGACCATGATACCACTTTTCAGGTATCTTTCACTTCTTCTCTTTACTTTTGACCTATAAAATAGGACATAAAAGTGAACAAGGACAGGATACGACTTTAAACATACTGATTTATGAATCTAAGATTTTGGTTTCTTACCTTCTATAAAGTTTGCATCCATATCGATTGGAGAGAAGAACAAAATACTATTTATAAGAGTGTGGAAACTTCTCCCTAACAGACGCGTTTTAAAAAATCTTAAGGGGAAGCCCGAAAGAAAAAATTGAAAAGGAACAATATCTGCTATCAATGAGTTTGGTTGTTATAAGTCTAGCGCTACCTTCTTACAAATATACAAATATTGCTATGAGAAAAGGAACACTTGTAGAGCCATGCAGATTTGCTAGGTTACCAATGAAATTTACTTTTTAACAGTAATTATCATCTGACAGGGAAGCTGTTTTAAATGTGAGAATAATGATGTCAGGAATGGTGATCATAGTGATGTATTGCCATTATTTGAAAAATCCATCTTTCTCAGTTCCATCATTTGTCTGTTGCCAAGTTTTGGTATCAGTTCATCACTGGATAATGATTATAAGTTGCTTTGCTGGCGTCCTTTGAAGATATATTATAGTTCTGGTTTCTATCCAATAATTGAATCACAGAAAATGCATATAGATACATTCAGGGATTTATCAAAATGCATATAGATACATTCAGGGATTTATCAACCCCCTTAGATATGTAGTTTGTTGATTCATTTAGGCATATGATAAATTAGCTCTCTCTACCATAATCTGAGAATGCATTCTGAATTATATATTACAGGAAATAACTGCAAACTTTGAAGTCAAGGCACATTCGGAATCTCCTTGGCATTCTCGATCCGAATGAGAGACAGATCATTAGACTACAATTTGGGCTCAAAGATTGTAAAGAGAAGACTTCGTCGTAAATAGGCAACATGGTTGATTTATTCAGAGAGAGAGGGTGCAAAGGCTCAAGAACCGTGAGATCTCACATCGGTTGGATGTGGGAATAAAACATTCTTTATAAGTGTAGAAATCTCTTCCTAGCATACGTATTTTAAAATCATAAGACTGATAGCGATACGTAATGGGCCAAAGCGGATAATATCTGTTAGCGGTGAGCTTGGGTTGTTACAAGAACCGAGCCTTGTACAAGCTTAAACGATGCTGCAACAACCAATGACTCGGTGACTAAAACACTATACCGACTGGGAAATCGCCATCAAGCTCGAGAAAAAGAAGAAGAAACACAATTCTTTGAGCCATGGCAAGGATGGATTGTGAAATGATTGTATGGATTGTGAAGGATGGATGGAGACCCATCCATTCTAAACGCCTTTCCTAAGACCAAAAAGACCAACTCATGCTGCCTTACCACATGGCTGGACCCATTTTTATAGCATCTCCACTTTTCTTTTCTGCTTCCCTAACTATAATAATATAATTATATACACTCTAAATTTATTCTATTTTTATTTTTTAAACCTTTAATAAATTTTAAAATTATTTTCTTATATTCTTCCACATGGATCTTTCTATTATCCCATTTTCTTTTGGGATAGACGGCTAATCTAATAAATTCAGTTGTCATTTGATCAATTGCCTCGGACACTAGATTGCTCGTGCTTGTTCCCATAGCCATGTGGGCTTGCCCCAATGAGAAAAAAAGAGTTTTTCTTGCTCCTCAATCTCGCTCCGGTTTTGGGCATTGCGGATGCTGTTTTTTTTTTGGGTTTAGGCTGACAAGGTTACGGTTTGTAAAAGTTAACTTCAAGCTAACTATAAAATTAATTTTAAGATTTAAAAATTAACTTCACCTTCTCCGAGTTATATTCCAATTATGTCAAATTCACTATAAGATAGCTAGTTTTAGGGTTTTTGACATAAAAAAAAAAGCTTTACGGTTCTCTCTATTGGGCCTTCTATGGCTCTAGCCATAAGCTATGACAACTCTAGCTCGCAACTATATGGATGAAAAGCAACTCAACAACTATATGGAGGTGGGCAAAGCAGCTCCACAAAGGAAAGGGTATTACGAGTCCTCTGCACCATGCATCTAACCTGCTCGAAACTGCTCGAAGTAAAAACTCCTGGAATTATTTTAGGTAAATCTATGCTCTAGAACCAAAGACTCTATTACTTTGATCGAGTCTTTGCCTCACGTACTTCACCTTAAAAGTTTAGTTTTTTCAAAAAAAAAAAAAAAAAA